ACCCCAACCCCAACCCCAACCCCAACCCCAACCCCAACCCCAACCCCAACCCCAACCCCAACCCCACCCACCCCAAACCCAAATACCTATCTATTTATTTATATTAATCTATAAAAATATGTCCAAATATATATATATATATTATATATTATAATATTAAAAAATATTAATTTTTTTTTAATTAATATATTATCATAAATATATTAATTAATAAATATTAATAAAAAAAAAATATATAAATTAAATAAAAATATTTATATTAAATTATTATAAATAATTATTTTTGATAAAAGAAAAACATTTAATTAGTTTTTAATAAATTATTAAACAAAAAATTTAAATGTTATAATTTTTTTTTATTTCTATATTATATTAATAATAAAATTATATATATTTATAAATATTTTTAACCATATATATATATAATTAATTATCTAATATTGTTCATTTTTCAGCAACAATTCCTACATTAATTTCTAAATCAGTAATTCTTTGAGTTAAATTTGCTAATGTTTCTTCCAAAACGACTTTATCTGCTCTAATAATACTTATACGTGATTATATTTTTAAGTTTTCTGAAGATTAATTTGTTATATGTCTATTCATTTCATCTTCTAGTCTAATTAATTCATTCATTAAAGTTTTTTCAACATCTTATGCTTTCATATTTAAAACTTGACCTAATTAATCCTTTTCATTATTTAAACTAGCCAATTCTTTAATATGCTACTATAATTCCTCATTTACTTATTTGGAAATTTATTCTAACTATTAAATTTTGCCTTTTAAACTTATAGGATTTGTATTATAATTAAAATATTGATTTTATGGTAAAAAATGTTAAATTTCAGTTTTTTTTGAAATAATATTATTTGACATTTTTTTATATAAATAAAAAAATATTTTTTATATATTAAAAAAATATTTTTATATTTTAAAAATATACATATAAAATAGTATTTTTTTTTATTTTAATAAATTATTAAAATTATATCAATGAATAAATACGCAATTTTTCTATTATTTATTTAAAAAAATACAACTAAGATTCATAAATTTACATATGTTTGATTTTATGTTTATTTTCTAAAATTTTAATTTTTATTTTAATTACATAAGTCTGTAATTGTATAGCATTTTTTATTATCTTTTCTATAATTTTCATTTTATATATTATTTTCTTATTTATTTTCTGTTTTTTTTGATGAACGCAAATTTATTAGTAAAATTTTATTTTCTATATATTAATTTATTTTTTGAATATGAAGTTTATTCTATTTTTTAAATTAAACAATTTATATATATATATATATATTACTCTATAAGGTAAATATAATAGAGCTTAATTAGCCGAAAATCTTTTTTCAATATTGATTTCGAGTAATTTTTATATAAAATCAGCCCCTTATTTCGAAAGTATTTAAATATAATCAACTTAATAATTTAAATTTTAAATATTTCTTATAATTTAACTTATATTAGAATTTCTTTATGTTTATTTATAATATATATATATATATATATATATATATATATATATATATATATATATATATATATATATATATAAATACTCATCTTAAAAAGGCAATTAGCCAATTAATAAATAAAATAAGACTATTCCAGTACTCCAAATATCAGATTTCGGATTACTATGTTAGTTATTGAGTCTTTCAGGTGCTTTATAATTCAAAGTGCCTAAGTTAGTTTATAAATTATTCTATTTGACTATTTTTCGAGATGTAGAAAAGTCTATTAATGTAACTCTTCCTGTTTCTGGATTATACATTATATTATCTGGTTTTATATCATTATGGGTCACTTCACATTATTCTAAATAACTTAAAGCCTCAAATACTTGCCTTATAATAAAAAAGGCCTCTGATTCTGTTATTTTTTGATGTTTTTCGATGTATTATTGTAATGTAGAACCTTAAATGTATTCCAAAACTAAATATGCCTTTTTGTTATTATTTTCGTATATTAATTCTTTGAAACGTATTATATTTATGTGGTTCATTTTTTATAATAATTAAGCCTCTCTTTATATCTTTTTTTATTTTCTTTTTCTTTTTATTTTTAAGTTAAAAAGTTACTTCTAGTGTTTCATTTATTGTTTCCATTTTAAATACTTTCACAGCAAAGTATTTTCTAGATTCTAGGGCTGTCTTATCTACTAAAGAACATAATTTTACAATAGAATTTGATCCCTATATACATATAAATATATATTTATATTTAATTCAATTTAAAAAATATTACATCTCCTAATTTTTTATGTATTTTATATTTTTAATAAAATGATTAATTACTAGGGATATTATTTTATTTAATATTTACTGGCAATTTTATAGTAAAAAAACTTCGCCTTCTATTAATAGTAAATCTTCTTTTCTATAAAAGATCTATTTGCGGAGAATCTTCTTGTATATTTGAACAAATTTGAATTGTTTGACTTTTTATTCTTACTCCATTATTTTTTATAAATTACTCAAGATCTTAATTTTCGTGTTCTAATGATTTTTATATTTCTTCCATAATATCGTATATATTTTTTATATAAATATAGATAAATTTATATTTATTTTATTTATATTAGTAATTCACATATATAAATATATTTATAAAATATAAATAATTTAAAATTTTTGTTTTTATAAACAGTCAATTAGTTTAAATAAAATATTTATAATTAATTTATAATAAATAATAAAATATAATATAATATAATATATAAATTATTTATTAAACAGAATAATAATTATTTTAAAACATGATGATATATGTTTGAGTTATTAAGAACTTATATAAATTAATTCAATTCTAATTAAATTAATAACTATATAATATTAATAATATCTTCTATTATAAATTTATAAAACCAATACTACTTCAAAAATAAATAAGATACTAATTAAATAATTAAAAATAAAAAAAGTAATAAACACTTAAATTATATTATATAATTGAATAGATAAATAAAATAATAAAGTCATAAATTATATAACTAAATTTTTATATTATATTTCCATAGTAATTAAAATCTTTTAAACTTAATTCTTTTTTTTTAAATAGCTAAAGTAAATAAAAAAATATTATAATTATAAATATTATCTAAAAGTAAAAATTCTTAACAAAAAAAACTTTTCTTAAAAACCTCATTTTAACTCAAGATAAAACTTTAATTTTTGAAAAAGCTCTCTTTAATTATAAATACTTAATATTAATTATATTATAAAATAAATTAAAAATTAATACAGGAAATTATAATAGAACTCTTATATATGTTTCTTATATAATTATAATTAATTCACAAATTAGTATAAATTTACAAAAATTTATTTGTTTTTATGGAAGATTGTATGATTTACTTATATAATTATATAAATATAAATATTTTATTTATATAATAAAAATATTTATATAATTTTATTTTTAAATATTTATAATAGTTTAATATTTAATTTATTTTTTGTGTATTGAAAAAGTAATAATTTTCAAAATTTTATACTGTGACATAAATATTCTACAACTAAAAGTTCACCTAAAGAACTTAAATTTTAAATAAGTTTAAATAATTAGATATCATAAACTTTCTAAAAAATAGTTATAAAAATAATTAAATAATATATGAATATGTTTATTTTTATTATTATTAGGAACTTATTTGGTTAAATAGATTAATTATAAATTATATCAAATATTATTATATAAACTACTATAATATATTAGTAGATTACTACAAACTAAATTAATAAAAATATAATATAAGAGTATTTTTACTAAGATCTCTTAATTTTTGTAAACTTAGAAAAAAAAAAAGGTTTATATAATGATTTTATTTAAAGCTTATTTTATAAAGCATATTTAAAATTTATTATGATCTAAACTTTATTTACTTTTTTATTTTTTTTAATTCTGAAAAATATTATATAAAGCGAATAAATTTAAAAAAATAATAAAATATACTAAATTGACTAATACAAATATAACTTATTTTAATATTTTACAGTCTTTTTTTCCAATTCTTAAATTTTTATTTAAATAATCCGTTTCTTAATTTAAAACTTTAAAATTATCAAAAATTTTTATGTTTAAAATGAATAAAATAATTCTCATTTTAATAAAAAAGAACTGAATATTAAACTAAAAATTAGGGTATTATTTAAGTAATATTTTAATTTTAAATTAATATTTCTAATCTTAAATTTAAATTTCCTAATCGAAAATTATTAAGTAGTCTAATTATATGTTTATATATTCTTCAATATTATTTATAAAATTTAAATATTTTTTATATTAAATACTAAATGAATATTAAATATTACTAATAAGAAACTTATTATTATAAAGTATTTTTTTAAATGTTAATAATTGATTATATGGTATTTTATCTAAAAATGTATTAGGAAATATTCCCATTTAAATTTATTTTTTATAAATTTTATATTAATGAAATCTAATAAAAGTTAGTTCTTATAGAAATCTATCAAAGTATATTTAATCGTATTTTTTTTTATATAAACTGAAAAAAATATTAAAATATGGATAATTAAAAAGTAATAAAAAAAATATATCAAATTCATTGATAAATAAATTTCTTAAGAATTAATTTTTTAATTTAAATAATTTTTTTAATAAGTAAAGTAACATATTTATAATTTAAGGGAATTTTATTAAAATCTTATATAATTTTCATATTTTAAAATATCTAAATTCTAGATATTATGTATTTTATTGAAAAAAAAAATCAGAATGATATAAATAATTTTAAATAGTATAGAAAACTTATTATTGTTTAAAATATAAATTTTTTATATAAAATCAATGTAAATATAATTATTATTTAAAAATAAATATAAATATAAATATATATATATATATATATATATATATTATTAATATTTCTTTTTTTACAATAAAAAATTATTCATAATAATAATAGTTTTTTTTTATTATTTATTTAATAGAATAATTTAAATATATTATGTTGTTTTTTTTAACAATTTCTTTTTATATTTTTATTTTTATAAACACAATTAATAAGTTAATATTAAGAATTATATTTATAATATATTTTTTGTTATATCCTAATTTTAGAAAAATATAATATAAAATATTTTAAAATAATATAATTTTTAAAAATATTAAAACATTATTTTAAAATATAGATATATATACCTATAATAAATACAAAAACAACATGTAAAGAATCTAATATTTAAATAACTAAATAAAGCAAAATCAAACATCATAATCTTAGGGAATTTGGGTCACTAAACTCGCATAAATCTATGATTTTTAAAAATTTGGTAATTTAAAAGGAAAAACAGTCCTAATAACAGGTGCATCTCGTGGAATAGGCTTATCTATAGGTAAAAGATGTGCCTAAGATGGTGCTAATATAGTAATATTAGCCAAAACAGCATAACCAAACCCTAAATTACCAGGTACAATACACACAGCAGCTGATGAAATCATAAAACTAGGCGGAAAAGCCTTGCCTATAATATGTGATATTAGATTTGAAGATCAAGTTAAATAAGCAATAGAAAAGGCTGTATAAACATTCGGAGGAATTGATATATTAATAAATAATGCATCTGCAATAAGCTTAACAGATACAGAATCAACAGATATGAAAAAGTATAATAAAATAAAATATATATATATATATAAATTTAATTTAAATATTTATATATAAATTTTTATTTTATTGATATTTATTCTATGTTTTATATTTATATTTAATTTAAATTTTTAATAGATATGATTTAATGCATTAAATTAATACAAGAGGTACTTTTATGGTTTCTAAATATTGTTTACCTCATTTAAAAAAATCCATTAATCCCCATATATTAAATATATCACCTCCATTAAACATGGTAAAAACAATAATATATATTTATAAATGCATATTGATTTATAATTAAGTAAAAAGAATTTTTCGGTCCACATGTAGCTTATACTATGGCTAAATATGGCATGAGTATGTGTGTTTTAGGTATGAGTTATGAGTTAAAAGATTATGGTATAGGTGTAAATGCATTATGGCCAAGAACTTCTATATCTACTGCTGCTGTTTAGAATTTATTAGGGGGAGACAATGCCATAAAAGTTTCTAGAAAAGAAGAAATAATGTCCGATTCGGCTTATGTTATTTTAACATCTGATTCTAAAAAAACTACTGGTAACTTTTTTGTTGATGATGAAGTTTTAGCAAGCGTTGGTGTTTAAGATTTTTCTAAATATAGATGTGATCCTAATGTTTAAGAATATTAACTTGCGCCAGATTTTTTTTTATGATTTTATAATAATTTATAAAATATAATATTATTTAATTAAAATATTTAATTTTTTTTTTTAAGTATAACAAAAATACATTTATAAAACAAATTATTAAAAAATATAAATAAATATATATAAGAGATGATAAATGCAAAAGGAAATTATGCAATGTTATTTACACTATAAGAAGGTGGAATTTATTTTTATTTTAAAGAAATTGTTTTAAAAAGAATAATTTAAGAAATATTTATAGGAAATGCAATTTTAGTATTAATTTTATTAATATTAACGAGTTTTTAAACATAAAGTAAAAAATTAAAAAAGATAATAAAATTTATATATGTAAAATAGAATCAATAAGTAATATAGATGAAGTATTAGCAAAAAATATGTAAAATATGAATACTAATATAAAAGATAATTTACAGTTTAATATGTTTGAAGTAAAAAAAAAATATAAAAATATAAATAAATATATGTATATATATATATTTATTATTTCATTTTTACTTATAGATAAATAAAGATTTAAATTATACATAAATTATATATAATAATTAATTTTAATTTCTTTAAGATAAATAAATTTATATGAATTCACAATGTGATGTTGTATTTGTAAATACATAGGATAATATACAAAATTGCATTTTAAATTTTAGTGATTAAAATATACTATAAAATAGTTAAAATAAAAGGAAATTATTTTTTTATAAATTTTAAAATGAATAATATATAACTCTTGAAAATGAGGATAAGATTTAAATATAAAAAATTATAAAATTCATAGATTTTAAAAGATAAATAGCTCAGACATTAATTTCTAAATAAAAGCCTTAATTTTTATTTTATTTTTTTCTCACTAATTAAAACCTAATTTTAATTGATTCAGATTAAATAATGAATAACTCATATAATTTTCAACAATTTTACATAATAATAATCTCTGTTCTTAATAGAATAATGTACAGACACTTAATAAAAATTCTACTGTCAAAAATGCAAAATAATTGCTCTATGTATGACTAATGCAATATATAAAATTAAAATAATTAAAATATAAATTTAAGTTGTTTAAATGAAAAAATAAATACGGTAAATACCTTTTAAATATTTGAAACTATCATTTAAGATAATTCGAAATATTTGCATTAATGTTTAAAAATAAATGAAGATTTTTAATATTGTGGAAGATTCAATTTATAAAATATTTTAGAAAAAAATAATGTTTTTACAAAAGAAAGGTTTAGGCTTTTATTCACTGATGCATAATTTAAAATTATGTATACAAATGATATAAACACAGAAACTGAAACTTATTAATAATATATATAATAGTTAGGAAACTAATATGCTTAAAACAGTTATTCGAAATCTAGAATAGACTCCAATTAGGAAAAATTACTTTCTAATTATACAATAATTGTTTAAGAATTAAAATCTAAAGCTATTGATATATATATTGACAATAGAAACAGTTATGATTCTAGGTATTATATATTTATATATATATATTAATGAATAAATTATACTTTATATATAGATATATATTAATTTCTATGAAAATATTAAGATTACCCTTAAATTTTTATGAATCAATTACTAAATAAGGAACTTTTATAAATTTTGGATTTTTTCTCATTTCTTCTGATGAAAAATATAAATTTTAGGAAAGTTTTTATGATACTTATTCTTATTTATTTTTTATGTATAGTTCTGTAGAAATTATTTCTTTGGTTTTCTTCTTCTTTATTTTATTGTTTATTTCAAAAAAATACATTATTTAAATTGTTTGTACTATTTTAGTAAAATTAAATTTATATATATATATATAACTAAATATTATAGTTTATAACTTAATTAATGGATAATATTGGTGAAGATTATCAAATTATGGAAGAAAAATTAAAACAATTCAAAAATTAAATTATAAATGAAAGTATGCCTGCTGAAATATAAGATTTAACTGAAAATCTAGATAGTTTTATATGGATGGTTGAATTTTTATCAAAGTATATTTATTATTCATATACATTTTTTTAAAAATAATAGAATTAAATAGAAATAATAAAGTATAGATATATTAATAAGAGGTATAAAAATTTTCAAGAAAATAAATTCTTATGAAGGCCTTGAAATATTACATGATAAAATAATTTTAGAATTTAAAAAAAAATAAGACTATTAAAATGCAATTATATATACTAAAAATATTCTTTCAAGTAAATATTTATATATAAATTTTTTAGCACAGAATATTATATTTTTTATAATATTAACATAAAATTATATATTTATATATAATTGTATATAAATTTATTATTTATACATATATTGTTTTTACCTATGATTTTAATTAAATAGTTTAAATAAATAGAAGAGAAGAATTTAAATTATAAATAATTAATTGTAATTTAACTGAAGAAGATGTACTTAAATAAAATATTAAGATATTCTATTATATGAACTTATTATTAAATTTAATTGCTAAATAAATAAAATAATAACCTGAGTAATATTAATACATAATAATTATTATTTTTAATTTTAAAAAATAGATTAAAATTAGTATTTGAAAGAATAATGGAATTTGCAAATAATATCGAATTTCGTTAAATAAATAAAATTCGTTTATTTATAAAAAAAGCAAGAATTTTATATAAGTTAAATAAATTTCATGAAAGTGCTAAATGCCTTTAAAGTACATAAAAAATGCTGGAATAAATATTACTCAATTAAAATGAAAAAGATGAAGGATTTGAGAAAAAACTAATTGTTATTTTATAATAAAAAATTCTATATCATAAAGGAATTGCAGCTTAAAATTTTGGAAATTCAATTGAATCTGTTAAATACTTATATTTAAGTTTAGTAAATAATAATTTTAATTATATATATGTATATATATATATATATATATATTATTTTTTAAGGATTAAGGAAATTTTTATTATAATAAATTAAGAGTAAAAACTTTAAATATATTAGGATCTATAATATCTAGGAATGCTAATTTTACAAAACAAAGTCTTAATATTAAAAATTGGGCTTCTTTTATAAGAAAAGATAAAAGAGATTTTAATTTTTTAGTTGATTGTACTTCTAAATTATCAGAAAATAAAAGCAAAATAATTCAAATTATTACAAATGTTATTATATATATTTATATATTTAAATATTTTTATAAAAAGATATATTATGATTATATGAATGATTCAGATAGGATTAGTATCGAAAAATATGAATAAAAAGTAGAAACAGTGCTTTAAATAGAAGAAAAATAAATTTTAGAAGAAAAAACTTAAGAATATTTTCTTGATAATTTAGGGTAAAAAAAAAAAGTTATTTACAATAAAATAAAATAAGAAATGACTTAATACCAAAAGGTAAAAATAGATGTCTTTTTAAAGCTTGGATAAATTGTATAAAACGAATATGTTAACCCGATTAGATATTTAGAGCTAAATATATAATAATATTTACTTTCGGTGATAATAACTGTAGTGGTAACGAAATTAATAACAATATTACAATAGATTATGTAAATAGAGATGATAATATGGAAGAAGAAAATAATAATAGTGAGGGAAATATAAACATAAATAATATTAATAATAATATTGAAGGAAGAGATAATGAATTTGCTGAAGTATTCGATTTGATACCTTAATCTTTTATTCATTTATTAATGATTGGAAATAATTTAAGAAAAACAAATAGTAAAAAAAACAGACTTATAAGACTGTGTTCATTAGCTCATAGATAATTTACCATAGATTTAGATAATAGAATAAATATAAAAGATATAATGAGAGATATATAAGGATTTTTATAATGATAAAATATTTTTTTTATAAATAAATAAAATTAAAATATATATATAAATAAATATATAAATATAAATATAAAAATAAATATAAATATAAATATAAATAAAAATATAAATATATATTAATATATATATATCATAGTTAATATAAATATTATAAATTTTTTAATATTAATTATTTATTATTATTTTAGTTATATTAGTATTATATAAATTTTACATAATTTTATACAGTTTTATAAGTTAAATAAATAGTAAAATAATAATATTTTATATAAATATTTAGAAATATTGTTTTATTGTTATTAAATAAAATTATAAAATAAATATAAAAAAAAAAAAAAAAAAAAAACTGATGTATTTTTTTATTAGATTTATAAATAAAATAATAATAAATAATATATTATTTTATATATTTACCGGGTTTTTATTATTCAAAATTATAATTATAAAAATAAATAAAAAAATAAAA